TATATATATATATTTTTCTTCACAAGAAAATAGCTCAGTGATGACAGCAAATCTCTGGTAAACAAATCATCATGTGCCAAGCAATGGAGACAAACACAAAGCGAATGCTAAGCCCTCAGCTTTAGCTGAACGTCACCTTGCGGAGTGGAGGAGACTCTGCCTCTGACCTCTCTCTAACCCTCGCTGCTCCCAGCCTCTTTCCTCGTCCTGTCCAAAATTATCTACAGCCTTCTCTTCCTGGTCTTCGGGAAACAAGAGGAACAGAGCTGAAGGGAGAGAAAGAAATAGCAGGTTCCACTTTGTAATGTCTTAAGTCTGCCTGGCTGTCAGATGACTTAGACACCGAACACAAACTGCTTAGGTCCATCCTTTAGCTATGCCCTTCAGATTGGGTCAGACGCCCTAGGTTCTGAGTGGGGGGCGGGGAGCAGGGCGAGCCAGTCCTCACGCTTGCTCCGGCTGCACCACTGAACTGCTCATGACCCTTCACTCATTCTGGCCTACACTGTCCTGTGACATTATTTTTCTCCCTTCTTTGCTGCTAACTTTAGCAGAGGTCCTCCTTTCTGTCTCCTCTCTGAGTTAGTTTCTAATCCAAACTCGACTGGGAGTATTTTCCAGCCCACTGGTTCCTCTGCATACCTCTTTGCTTTTTCCTTGGGAATTATGATGGTTAATTCAATGTGCCAACCTGAATCTGGGAGTGAATGGGAAGATGGGAGAATGGGACGAATGGCAGGGGTAAAGCAGAGTGCCCTCCTCGGTGTGGGTGGCTCTCATCCAATCTATGGAAGGTCGGAAGGGAACAAGAGGCTGAGGCGGGGGAGTTTAGTCTGTCGGTCTGTCTTCGAGATGCTGGTGTCCAGCCCACTGGCTTGGACTTGGGCTGGAATCTACAACACAGACTCTCCTGCTTCTCAGACTTCTCAGACTTTTGGTCTGATTATTATTACCTCCTACAGGTCTCCAGCGTACTGACTACAGACTTTGGGATTTCTCGGTTTCTTTAATCATGTGAGGCAACTCTTTACAATAAATCCCTCTATAACTGCACACATTCCATGAATTGTTTCTCTGGAAGACCAGGCCTACTACAGCATTCTAGAACTAAGTTAACTTTCAGAATTCCTTAGATCCTTGGGGGCTTCCACTTCTGAGGCCATTTGCTCCAAAATGTACTGAAATTTACTTTGTTAAAATGTGAGCCAACTGTATTCTTTACTCTTTTCTCCGGCTAATATGAACCTTCTGGAAAAAAGGCCACTTTCTCAGGTCCTTCTTTCTTCTGTATCATTAACAAGGCTTCTCTGCTGGTCAGGAAGAAGCTGAAAAGTGAATTAAGAATAGCAACTGCCTTCGCCATTCCCGGTCTGGAAAAATGCAACCGTCATTAAGGGAAGGTCAAGAATTAAGCAGAGTGGTGCCTCCGTTCACGAACTTCATTCTCTCCATGATTCTCATTGCAAACCGAGTCAAATTTCCCCAGAAGGACAACACTGAACCTAGCCACTGAATTTGGTTCGGTTCTCATCCAACTCAGTTTGCAAATAGCGTTGTGGAATCGGGTTTGTGAACTGAGGTACCACTGTACTTTCTCACTCTTTTCTGTTGGGACACTAGAGATTAGAGCCAACTGAGGACTGAGCTATGTTCCCATGCCATTAATTATTTTATTAACTTTTTAAAATTTTGAGGCAGGGTCTTGCTAAGTTGCTGAGGTTGGCCTCAAATGTGCAGTCCTCCCACCGCAGTCTTTTGAGGGGCTGGGATTACAGGCATGCACCACCGGGCTTGGCTCAGTGCTTTGTCTTTAGCTGACTATCTATATCCTGTGGCTACCTTAGTCTCCCTCATTCTTCCCTTCCCTTCCCTTCCCCCACTTCAGAGTTATCATTTTTAACAGGAGAGTATCCTGTGTCCTCTAGTGTACACGTACATAACTGGAGCACTTCTGTGTGTGTGCTTTTTAGTTTTACATATCTGAGTGATTTTCACCCTCTTATATGGTGCTAAACCATCATGCTGTTTTTGAATCTGTTTCTTCTCCTTGAGTGTGGTAGGCAAAATATTGGTCCTCTCACTAAGTCCACGTCCAACTTTTCCAGAACCCATGAATTATGTTATGGCAAAAAGAGACTTTGCATATGCGACTGAGTTAAGCATCTTAAGAGGGGCAGAACCAGAATTTGAAAACCACTACAAGGAATACCTTTTCTCTAGGGTCAGATTTTTTTTAAATAGGGAGAAATACGATGGTTGAGTGTTCTTTTACATTGATTGAAGCATTACTGACTTCAGCACAAAAGACACCAGAACATGCCAAAAGTCCATTGATAGGAGAAAAATTCACTTAACCATGAATGCATTAAGTTGAATATTATTCAAGAATAAAAAAGAAGGAACTAGCGCTGTATCTAGAAGCATGTAAAAATATAAAAGTATAGCATTAATTACAAAAGTGATCCAAAGAATACAATACAAAGAAAAAAAGAAGACTTTGGAGAAATGAAAAATCATAAAATCCATTTTTTTACTTTTGTAATAAAAGCATAACATACAGAAACTGGAATCTCTGATATTGTGGAATTTTCCAAGAAGAAGGTGAGAGTATACGTGAATTTCTTAATAAAAGATCTAAAGCAATACCTGATAATGTTAAAATTTGTTAATGATTTATTCACACTCTATTTCTGTGTAGTTTAAAATGTTTTATGATACAATAATGTTTTAAAAGGTTAGTAGGTTTGAAATTCTACAAGAGTGAGCATAAAAATAAAAAAATTACATACATATTCATGTATATACATTCATATGGAAAAATAATCCTTAGCAGAATCTATTTAAAAAATGCTTTCATTTGGTGAGGCTGATGGAAACTCTTTAAACCAATGTTAACATGAGGTGGGTACTTTACTATTTTCTTCTGGATAAAACAGAAGACATCAAGAAGCACTGTGTTTAATAACAGATGTAACAAAACCAATTTAGTGATTAATTACTTGCTCTTGGGATAAAACAAAAAGTGACAGTACACAAAGCTTTTGTATACTTCCAGAACACAAGTCTATTAAAAACTGAAAAGTGAGACAAACAAGGATCCTATCAGGTATCTAAAAATCTCTGAAGGAAAATGCTAATTTTTTATCGAATATTAAAAACAAGAAATCTAGATAAGAAAGAAAAGCATGCCCCACACTACTCCTCGCTATACGTAGAATACGTAATGTAATCATCAGCTTTCACCCCCTGCCTCCATTCTTTTTTGTGGTTGTTGTGCCAAGGTCCCGCTGTGTTCCCCATGCTAGTCTCGAACCTCTGCACTGCAACAGTCCTTCAGCTGCAACTTCTCAAGCAGCTGGGGCTATAGCTGTGCACCACCGTACCTGGCTCACTCTTTCTAGAAATTACATTTTAATAGCCACCCTTTTACCTCTGACTACTAAATATATTTGCCATCCAAACCACAAGCTCTTGAGATAGTACTTCCCAGTTTTTCGTTTTTAATCACACAGCTGAGCACTGCCTACACGAGGTAAGTAATGCCTTTCTGGAGACACCAATATTTTATCGAAGAGGCTTCCCATCCCACCTGGGTTGGTGTAGAGCTGGCTTTCCACAGTTTTGCCGATGCACTGCAGCTTAATGGCCTGCAGGGAATCGTCCACGTGCATGATGGTCGGCAGGCTGCCCAGAGTGTCCTGTACCAAGTTGGCCACTTCCCGGACATCAAAGAGCTTCAACAGTTCTGAGTACACGGCTGGGAAGGAGCTCAGAAACACAGCCTGAAAAAGGAGGAGAGGTTGAAATCAACACCCAGTTATGCCACGAGAAATAAGCTGTAAAATATCAGTGAGTTTAAGGATGGTGACAAGTGTTCTTTTTAAGAGAATAAAAAAAAAGAACAATAGCAAAATAACACCAACATAGACAAAAACAAAACAAAGGGAAAACAATAAAAATGACACAGGGTTTCAAAACAAACTGATAAGAATTAACAGGCTGTTACATTGCATACTGTTATCTTCAATGAAGTTGCTCAGATTACCAGATGTAAGAATGCAAGATTGATCAAACCATTAAAGAGAATAAAAAATAATTAAAAAAACATTAGAAACGGTACAGAGTTTCACTAGACAAGATGATAGGAATTCACCAATGGTTGTTATATTGCATATTGTTATCTTCAAATTAGTTCTTCAGAGTACCCAGATATAAGCATGTAAAATTGGCCAAAAAAAAAAAAAAATAAGCATTAACTGTTCCTTTCAACAAACCATTGGACATCAGTAGTATAGTTGTTTGAGCGATCCTTCTATATATACATATAACTTCCCTTCCTTCTTTCTTTCTTTTTCACCTTTCCCTCATCTTAGTCATTCCTTCCTTTGAGCAATTTCCATCCCTTTCAGAAGATCTATTGTATGTCTTGGCTTTTATTTACTCTTTCAGGTTCTCACACTAGGGAGACAATACGGTGTTTACACATGTGGGTCCAATTTATTTCACTTATGAGTATGGTCTCTAGTTGCATCCATTCATTTATAACAGCCCTGAGTTTATTTTTTTAACATTTTTTTTAGTTTATGTTTTTAATAGCTGAGTAATACTCCATTGTAGAAAAATACATCTTTTTTTATCCATTCCTCAGTTGATGGGCATTTGGATTGTTTCTAAGATTTAGGTATGTGTTTCTGCTACCTGAAGTTAAAAGGGGAAAAATTTTAAAACAAAAACTGTGTGGCAGAACAGGAAGGTTCTCAGAAATCTACAAAGGAGTAACATAATGATAACTGGAACTAATGGGAAAATCACTGACATTAGCAAAACAACTGGCAACTCCCCTGCCCCCCCCCCCCCCCGCCCCGAATCAGCTAAATGCAGCACGAATAAACAGAAAGAATATTCAACCAAGACCTGGACTGTGGTCACTTAGATTTCCTTCCTTCCTTTCTGAGTAATTTTTGTGAAGTGCTCACTTAAATCGCACTCATCTTTAAGAACCCTAACACATTACTTCCCTAAGCACTCAGTCAATGACTGAAGAGAAAATAGCACAGGGCAACAGAAGACCGAGGTTATATGCGGTGCTCGCTTTGCTTCCGATCAATGCTGCGGCTTTGGAAAGGCGTTTCAGGCTCCTGGGCTTTTGTCTCAGCCTTTGTAAAGTCAAAGTATGACTGATGCAACTCCTTACACTGCTTCAAGCCCTGCTGTAAACCAAGAAATGCATGGAAAGACTAAAAAAATGTTATATAAATAAATAAAGCACTGTTAATGTTTTCTTCTTTCTTTTATTTTTTGGGGGGTACAGGGCCTTTTGCACTGAGCTACACTCCCAGCCTATCATCACTTTTTTTTTTTATGGAAAATAAACAGATGTTTCATCAAATTCCCAGGGACACACTTTAAGAATCAGAGTAGGTCTATACATCAAAACAAGTCAGCCTTTAAAAAGTCCATGCAGGGAAGGGCAAAGGAAGGAGGCAGCACTGGCCTCACGTGTAGCCAGGGAGGGAAGGGCGTGCACGTTCCCAAGATGCTCAGGCTGCAGCGCCCGCCTCCTCACCAGTGTGACCTGACACCATCAGAAAGTAGGTCGAGCCTATAGGTGCTGATGAGGCCAACATGGAATCAAATGCAAATTCAAGGATTTTAGTATAACCTAGATGGGTGCAGCAAAAATAGCCAGAAGACCAAAGGTCTGTTCGTGATGTGACAGCTACAGAATGCTTAAGGTGCTTCTTGTCAACAGTTCTGCACTTTGACTCTCCCCAATTACAGATTCACTTGAATACACTTAAAATTAATAACTTGGTATTCCATTAGAGACTACATTTATGTAACCTTCATCGTACTCTGCAAAGAACTGAGTCACAGAAATAAAGTAAAATAAAATAAATAAAACAAAATGTAGTTTTCTTACTGTGAAGTCAAGTATGTTGATTTCCCTTAGGCATCCCTTAATTTATTCCTTAGTTTTTATTTATATCTCTTTACTTCAAAAAAAGTGTCTGAATGTGCTTCCAGTATAAGACACATATATAATGAGACTATTTAAAAGGATAAAGAAACAGACATTTATGACAAGGACAGAAAAGTATTTGTAACTAGGGCAAGGTAAGAGTCTTTATTGCAAATAAAAATAAATATGCAATTTAGTTTTGACCTTCCTGGTAACCAAGATAAACAGGGAAAAATAATTATTAGGAACTTATAGCAAGGTCTTGAGCCTTTATTCCTCTGTCATTAGTTTTATTTTCTAGGGACCCTGGCACAATGACCTGGCCATGGCCTGGACACTAAAAGCCACTGCCGTACCAGTTGAGTCTGTCTCCCGGCCTGTCCAGGACAGGACTGTCCAGTACAGTGTCACTGCCAAGTTGAGTTGAGGCAGGAGGACTAAATAAATGCCCCTATGGGGACCAGTACGAACAGAGCTACAGGGTAGCCATCCATACAGCCAATCGGACGGATTGCTGCAATGGTTCCTCTGCCTCTGAGAAGCAGGATTTTCCCTGAGCTGTAGCCCATATTGGAGGAGGCAAACACAGCAAATAAACTGGGTTTTTGCCTATAATGCAGCCTCACAAGAAAACTTGGGCTAGTGGATATCTTTGGCTCTGGACGTGGTAGGCACAATTCTAAGATGATCCCATGACTTTGTCTCTGGTATTCATGTGATTACATTATGTTATATAGGAAAAGGGATTACACAGATGCAGTAAAGGTTACTAATCAGCTGACTTTAAAATATGGAGATTATACAGGTAGGTCTAAAATAGAGTTTTAAAGACTGACTGGTAGCAGAAGTAGTTGGAGAGATTCAAAGCCTAAGAAGGACTCGACACACTGTTGCTGGCTTTGAAGATGGAGGGGCCACAGGCCAAGGAATGCAGGTGGCTTCAAGAAGCCAACAGCATCTCCCTTCAACCGAGCCCTAGCTGACAGTCATCAAGACAGTGGGGACCTTAGTCTTACTAGCAAACAGGTTTCTGACAATAGTTTGAAAAATCTTGAAAGCATATTCTCCAGAGCCTCTAGATGAGACATCAAAGCCAATACCCTGTTGTTAGTTTTGGGAAACCCTCAGCAACAAACTCAATGAAGCCTGTCTAGACTTCCAACCTTTAGAACTGTGATCGAACATATGAACACTATTCAAAGCCACTGATTTATGGCCATTTGTTATCAACAGTATAGAGCCCTAACATAGCAGATCAATCAGATTAGTTTCACCCTGATTTCTGAAGAGAGGTCTAAGGTCAAAAGGGAACCTGGTACTGGGATGCCTGACATGGCAACCCCCTTCCTCCCAAAACATAAAGGGGCTATGCCCTCACTGCTTAATTTAAAATAGAGTAGATAGAGTAAATAGCTACTCTTTCATTTTGTATGAACTTTCTTAGCAAACAAACTAAAAATAAAACTATCATATCAAAATTTATAAGTAAAGATTATTTCACAAAATAATGAGTTCAGTAGAATTTACAGAGGTATTCAGAAACCATATACGTTTTTAAATATATTATCTCACTTCAAAGCTAAGGGAAAAAATCAAATATAATTCTTTGAAGATGTTAAAGTTGTTCTTAAACTAGATGGCAGAACAGAACTTTTAGAACCAAAAGCATGAGAAATCAGTATGCTGGGAAACAAAAGCAGAACTGCTCTATTCTGCAGTACCGCAATGGCCCAAGTCATCTTACGGGGACTACTAGGATTCAGTGGAAATATAGGTAAGGTAGAAAAACATTTATTCCCTGTAACTTTGAAGGGGGAAAGGATCTTCTGAATACCTCCAAAGTGAGAAAATATTTTTTGGTACAAATTTGGTAAATTTTATCCCAGGAAGTAGTAAAAATTAAAAACAGAGATCTCAGGATGAAAACCCAAATTATGAATCAGTGTCATGGAAGCAGTAAACCTGTGAGAACTCTCAAGGAATGCATGGTTAGAATTCCAGGTTATTCTTCTCAAATATCAGCTGCCGCAAGTAGGGCTTGGCTAGTGGGCAACATGCTATCAAGGTCCCTGGCATACTCCTCAAATGCAGTGATTGTACGGATGACAAGGTCAAAAGCACATTTAAAAGAGCCTGGGTTGTACCCTTGTCCAGATGTAAAATGAGTCTACATCTGTAACGAAAAACGTGACAAAACTGGCCCCCTAATCAGCTGGAAACAGTACAGCACTGTTTTCAGGGGGCTGGTGCTTTACGTTTACACATTATTCATTCCACATTCCGCAGAGCACCAAATTCTATCAACAACACCAGTTGGCCTCATCTCCCATTCCGATGCCCTAGCTCTCAATGATTATAAGTCATAAGTATCCAGGGAATGGTGAGAGGCTGCTTCTCCATTTGCCAAGTTTTTAACCAAGTCACTAGAATTGAAAGTGTACAAGAAGAATGAAGAAATATAGGGAAAGATATTCCAAATTCTCTCTCAGAACACATCCAAGGCCATGCTATTTAGTGAGTGGACACCTGGTGATAGAACTTGGCAGTATCAGCTCAGCATTGGTCTTATAAGATCAGTCCCAGGATGATTACAGTCAAGTGAAATAAAATAAAACAGCATGCAGTTTGGTGGCGTCCAGCCTCATGATTCTCAGAGCTGATAGATTAAAATGCAGGGTGAAGCTCGGGGAAAGCAGTGCCGCAGACCGGCTCGGTGGAACTCATCCTCCCGGCTGACAGGGACGGTGTCGGGTCATCAGAATGCGTTCTGCTAACTGGACGCGAGGCGGCCGCGTGCTGGCAGCCTCTCCACTCTGCGAGGGGAGTCTGCCTAAAAGCAACCAACCCACTTCTGCTCAGAGCTGGGGGCTTTCAAAGAGTCTATCCTTAATGATGGGTAAGCTACAAATGTAAACTAGAGCTCTGAATTTCTGCTGGAGAAAGCATTTACTTCTGCTGTGCAAAAATAAGCTGAATTCTTAGCTTTCCTCTGCTCAGCAGAGGCGAGGAAACATTACCTGTGACTGAGATAACGCTCCAGACCCTTTGCTCTCTTGTGAAAGAAAGAAACGGACAGACATAAGGAGCTCCTGGATGCAGCAGCGAAATTCTTCTTCATTTTGCCCACCAGTGGCGAGAGAAAACAGCCTTCGGGATTGAACTATATATTTAAAAATGTATTCCTGGGCCTTAAGACAAAAAAATGAAAAAGTTAGCTTCAAAAGAGGCCAAGGGTATTTACGTAACAGTGACAGCACAAAAACCATGGTACAGTATTAGACTTTTAAATTATTGATTTAAACGCTACAGTCCTGTGAGATTTTTGAGTGGTATTTACTAGTAGGGAGGAGAGTCATTTTTCTCTGATGCCTCATGAAAAATGCATAAATATTTAAAAATTCTTTATGATTCTGAAGAGTCATAGCACTATTTTTGATCCTTAAGTAGCTTTTTCAATTTAGTTAACAGAGAACTGTTTTTCAGAAAGTGATCTGGCAGGTAGTCTTGACATAGCAGTTTACCTTCAAGTAGAGCAAATAATCTACATTATTTTTATTTACAGACACCACAGAGAATGGTACTCAGTGGGAATCAGAAGACTACCTGGGCTTGAATAGGATAATCCCTTGAAGAATTTATATTCTTCAACAAGCCTGTGAGTCAGGCATTACCATCTCCACGTACATCTCAGCAGAGGGGGCCCACAGACATGGGCAATGTCGAGTCATGAGGCCCAGAAAATCTCAGGTACCCTCTCTGGGATCCCTGCAAAGCTACCATGCTCTCTCTTAAAATTTAAGGTAAATGGTTCTCAAAGGTGGGTGGATAGAAGAGCTAGGAACTGCTAAGCATAATGCCCACCTGCTGCCTGCTCTCTTAGACTCCCCTTTCTTACCAATCCTGGGCATCCCTTCAAGTGTCCGGGTGCCCAGAGGAACAAAGATTCATTTCTGAGCAAGGTCTGACAGACAAAGCGGACGAAGTCCCTCTAAATTTTATCAGCTCCTGAGCAACCACAAACTAAGATCCCTGAAGTGGATGTGAGCAGTATATCATCACTAACTACTGTCTGTGCAGAAGAACCCAATTAGTTTAAAGCAGCACCGTGCAACAGCCTTGCTGGACGATGTTGTCTGTTTTTAGCAGCATGTTATTACCTTCAGCACCTCCTGGATGTGCTCCTGCCGCTCTGCTTCCGTGATCCTGTCCACATACCACTTGAGCACTTTGATGAGATCTCTAAAATACAGGGGAAAGGGGAAGAATAAAGAACTCGTCTTGTTCTCAATGAAATGCCAACAAATCCGATGCGTATATATCATGAAGAGGCTTCTTTCCCCATAAATTCTTGTATTTCCCTATTAATTTTTTACCTAATCATTTCACTAAACCTTCAGATCAACGATACCTTCTTTAAAGCTTAAAGAAACATCACTCGAGATTTCCCTCAATTTGGACATGCTTCATTGACCCTCCTGTTTCTCATAGCACCTCCAAATAAGCGCCCCCAACCACAAATACTAGAGACAAGGACTCTGCTGCAGCAAGTGCCTGGAAGGAGGACTGTCACGGCAAACCTTGGACAACTGCTCCTTGGAATTTCTTGCCCACTGACCATGTAAACAGCTGGATGAATTAGCTTTCAGCAGCAGACACAAGGCGGGTTAGGGTGGTGTGGGCAATACCTCCCCACCCTAGGTGACAACTCTACGAATTATTCTCTGACATGGCCATGAGACAAACAAGGTTTATGTCCAAAATATACCTTCGAAGGAGTCTTTCTACAAGAGTAAAGGTGTTTTCTTTTAAGAAACAAACATTTAAAAATAACCTATAACACTTCAGATAACATTCTTTCCCCTCTGAATTTTGATCAGGTCTTAGTTTCTAGGAAAAAATTTACATAATAAACTTTTTTCCTTTTTTTATGGTGAAAAACAAAACATCATTTAGAGTTAGTCAGGTAGAGAGAGGATCCCAACTTCGTGGCAACAACAAAAACACTATCAGCAGTCAGTCAAACGTGCCTTCTGTTCTCCATCAGGCCTGACTGGGTTACTGACCTTTACTACATCAGTGTCATCAAGCCACCACACAGCCTGTTTGATCTGGTGCTTGCTACCTTTGACCTCCACAATGATCACAAGTGTGTCATCTTCTGCCTTCCTCAAGGGCAGATTTAGTAGTCAAGAGGAAATCAACACCACAGTAACCAAGTGTGTTGCCCTGGGCTGCTCTTCAGGAAGTATGTGGGCTGCCTCTAGAGCCGCAGTGCTTTAGACTACTAGAAGGTGGGTGAGGTATACATCTTCTTTTTCCTGTGGCAGTGGACACTTTTCAGCACCGTCTTCACGGCCTGAAAAGCCTTCGTTTTGGCCTTGGTTTCTTCACTGCCAGCGCCATCTTGGTGAAAAGGTCACACACAGCAGTTTCTATCTCTTGACAACAAAGAATACCTGGATGTGACAGCAGGTAGGTGCTGCTGGGAAAGGCAATTTTAAGATAATATATCGCGTTTTTTTTTTTTTTTTTTTTGACCACTCACAGCCTGAGAAGATTTCACAGACCTTGTATTTGTCTTGTTAGGGTGGATTACCCTGCTTTCTTGGCCAACCCGAAACATGAAAAATTATACCCCTGCCGTCTAGTCTCCAGTGACAATTTCAGCTGGAAGCAGTGACATCCTCACACCAGGATCTAAATCATGAGATTGAGCAGGACAGCATTTCAAACTCTGCCTGCTGTGGCACTTCCCCTTCAGCAAAACCTCATGCTGATGGAGGGTCAAGTCTTACAAAAATACCTTCATTCATTTACATGCTGGAGACATAAATATTAACACGCCAGGGTCAGGAGTCTTTGAGTTGATCTAATGCTTGGTGACTACCATCCTTTATATGTCACACACACGGTAGGGGAAAAAGGGAGAAACCTGATTTCAAGCTCTTTGTCTCACCTCTGAGAACAGATGCCCATGCACGTATACCCACCTGGGTGCCGCTTGAGCCATAAGGTAGAAATGTGGGCAGAAAAGCAAGGACGGCATTGGAACGGGGAGACAGGACATTGGGTTCATGGCAGGACTGGATTTAAGCAGAGCAAAAGACTGGAAGGAGGTCATTCACAGGACTGAGAGAGAGAAGCCGCTGACTCTGGCGAACACCAACTAGGCTGCCTGGCTGCAGGCACTCGCTGAAGGGCCGCATTACTCGTTCACTCCCAGCCTCCTCTGCACAGTCTGTGCAGGAGGGAGGAGTGGTTAAAATGGCGGCTGCTATGGCAGGGGAGAGTCCTATGAAGGACTTGCGTGAGGCTGGGGATCAAGTCTTCACATCGGCAGCACCAAGGACAGCGCCTGGCACGCAGTCTGGCACTCAGCAACTATTAACAACTGAATGACGAAGGGCTTTGACTAAGTAGGAAGCAAAGGTTGTTTTCTGCTCATTTCCTTCTTCAAGTCATATGCGGTAATGAAGGAGTACACAGAGGAAACCGGGCCCCGACAGCAAAATAACTTGAGAACCAGACATTTCAGGCTGAAGAATACCAAGTGAAATACAGACAGAAAGAAAAAGCTTTTCTATTCTGGGTCTCTAGAACAAAACAGTTCTGCTTTTGATCAAAGTTGTAGTCATTGAACAAAGGAGTGTGGAGGGGAAGACACTGTCCCAAGGGACTTCCAGCTCCCGGGCTCTCTTCCTGCACTCCCTGTAACTGCTTTTGCTCAGAACAGCTCAGAAGATCGTACTGGAAGCCAACCACAAGCTAAAGGACCTTACCTGTACGCAAGTGCCCCAGCAAAATGACTCTCAATGTAAGTGTCCATTACAGGTTTAAAATGATGAAATTTGCTATCTTGCAGTAAATTTATTATGTGAACCTAAAAAGAAAACTGAGCTTTATAAAACCACATACAAACTGAGACTTTCTTTTAAAAATAAATTCTTATATTATCAAGTGCGTATCTCCAAACAGCTCCATGAACATCAGGATTGAGATAACATGGTTATCATTACGTGAATTTGAACTTACCAAAGAATCAAAAACTTTCGACCCATACTTTTGGGAATTTTCATCTAAAATTCCAAATAAAGTATCCAGTGTATCTTGTAGAAACTGTTAAATAAAGAAGCAGTAGGTGAATAAATATAATATTATTTGTCCTTCCCTCCCAAGTGTTCCTTATTCTGAGTTTCCAAGAAGGATAGTGAAGTAGTACATATACCTTTACTATCTCTGAGCCATCGATTTCTTTTAATTTAGAAAGACAGCCTGTGATCTTGTCTGGGTGGGTTCTCCATTTCAAAAGATCAAGCATATCACCTTTTTCAAATAGAAAAGGAAGATTAGTTGCTGTTATAGACAATCGTTCCTGGTGTGTGAGTGTTCTACTGGTGAAAGCTGAAGTCTTCAACACACTGTTCCCCTCTCCTGGTCATTCATTGTGCAAAAGGCAGGATAGCTATTTAGCTTCTAAGCAGCAGTCAGCAAGGGACAGGTCCTATGATTAGTCTGCTGGTTACAAAGCAAATAGCACATACACCAAGTTAAGAGCTAATTCAAACTACACAGCTACTTAAGCTTAGAAATGTAAAAGCAAACACAAGAAAAAGGATGAAGAGTTAAGATTAGAACCCCTAATTCTCAGCAAAGAAACTCCTCAGGTATAATATCTTAGTTAACTCCCCCTACCTCCAGGCTTTCAGGAATTTAGGAATGCAGAATAACTGATTTTCTTTAAACTAGGTCTCCTCTGAAGTCTGCCAGCTGAGTAACTGATTTTCTTTAAACACCACATTACCAAGCCTAAACCCCAATCGGTTATTCTGAACCCACAGAGCCACCTATGATAGGTGATCCCTGGACAGCTTAACAAGTGCTTTGGCAGATCATCTAGAGAGGCCTTGGGCCTGAGAATGCTAGTTCTAGACTTTATAATCCAGCTTCCTTCCCAGGGTTCAGAGAGGAAAGTACCCAGCTCTTTAACTTCCTCTTTCAAACTTGCCATTGGGGCCCCAGGTCCAGCAGGTCCTCTAGGTACTTCTTCACCTGGGGGGAAAGATGAGCTCTTCCTTTATCTTTCTAGCGTAGATTTAGAAAGCCTTGGGGAGATGGTGTTTCAACTTCATTACTCTCCATAGGATGCTGGGTGATGCTGGCTGGTGACCATGGAAGCCACTGAAGGCAGGACAAGCTAAGGGGTGCCCTGAAGATACCCAGAAAACTGGCAGGGCTGGTCTAGGCTCAGAGGTCTGGAGGGATTTTCCAGACTGAATTGTGAGGCATTCACTTCAAAGATCTTGTCTCAGAGGAAACCCAAGTGAGTCCTGCTGAGAGACAGAGAGATCAACAAAGAAATTTTTAAAAAAACTCGAAACTCTACAACATCAAGGAAATAGTTCCAAGATGAGGAGGAAAAGATGGAGTGAACAGAAATGGAAAAAGTGTTAAGACTCTGAAGAGGAAAGAGAAGAAATCTGCATGAAAGCCTGAGTCAAGAGAAAAACTTCATGAAGGTCTTAATAGTAAGAAATTTGCCTTATATACAGAGAAAGCATACAATGAAACGTAAATGGATTTTGTTTTAAACCTGGGCCCCATCCACAAAGTATCTTATGTAACATGTAAATGTTCCAAAATCCTAAAAACCTCAACATCTGAAACACTTCTGGTTCCAAGCATTTCACATAAGAGATACTCAGCTTGTACTAAATAAGAATGTTTATCTACAACAGAGATAAAAGGAGAAGGAAGATTTAGAACAGGAAGATGAAGAAAAATTTTAAAAACATTTTTAAATAGAGACATATTTTCATAACAAAAACCCCCACAAACAAAGCCCTGAGAATGCTTAATATTGACATCTAACTGAGATATTCTGGGGCTCTGGCTGAAACCTTGCTGAAACTGGCTGGTTACATCTGGAGTATCGGGTTTTTCCAGAGTGGGACCATGAGGACAGGGCGCCATCATTTTCCTAGTCAGCTTCCTCCTTTCTGTCCTCCTTCCTTCTTCCCACATCTAACCTCAGGATGCTCCCCTCCCGAGCAAGCTCTCTTTGAAATCCCCCAAGCACTTCTCCTCAACTTCCCTCCCACCCCATCCCTGCTTTCACTCCTATCCCTGGTGCTCTCTCCCCTCCCTTTAGAGGCAGGCAGCTGCAGGAACACCCCAGGTCCCGCCCAGTGGGAGGAGCCTGGGGGGTGGCTCTGCTGGCCAGGAAGCTGCGTCATCAGAGGCAACAGCAGGGAACCAGGAATAGGAACCTCATGAGCAGAGCTGAGAAATGGATATGGTGGTCCGGATGATCCCGTTAAGATGCACTGCTCATGTTTCCTACAGGAAGGCTAAAAAATCTCAGGACTGCCTGTAATGCGGCAAATGAAAGAGCAGGGAAGTTATGCCTGTCTGGATGTAGTTAATCATCTATGCAAAGTACTCAGCATTCAGGCAAAATTGTCACCTCTAAGTCTGATTTAGTCACCAAAGATATGTTAGCTGCAAATTTGGAGGTAAGACCTACCACTGAAAATATGAATCTTGTGAATTCTGCTCAAGAAGCATTTAAATATATAGTATGTCCCTGACACACTGAAAGCTAAGAAATACGTAGAAGGCATGGTACCGACTCTTGAGGATGTTAATCTCTCTAAGTGATCTAACAATCACAGATGTCCAATGAGTGCTCTACTCTGGACACACTATGGGTTAAAATGCCTGGTAATAGAGAGACCGCAGATGGACACACTTCAGGAGTCCTGAAACACAAATCTCTCTGGGAAACTGCTACTAGAGACCACAACACTTGGGAAATGTCCAATTGTAGTGGAAACTGGATTTGTGCGTTTTCCAATTCAAGTAAAATGAACACACACCAATTTAATTTTAATTTCAAACTTGGGGCTGGGGATTTAGCTCAGTGGCACAGTGCCTGCCTGGCAAGCACAAGGCCGTGAGTTCGATTCCTGGTACCGGGAAAAAAAAAACAACAAAAAACTGGATTATTTCTACACAGAGATGAGGGTCTAGTGTGGAAATTTCAGAAAACTCCACTGACTTCTTTCTCCTTTTTCATCTCTTGAAACAAATTCTTCATTTCCTGGCTCATGTTGAGCTGTCTTACATTGACAAGGTTAATCAAAATCAAAATGATAATGAAACATGTATCAGGCACCAAAAGTGAGCCTGGCATTGCATAGAATTCTGGCCCTGCTTTCCGTACAGTGAGATGTTTAACACAGTGACTTCATGAACAGTTTACTTTCCATTTTTACCTGGAAATATTCTCTGCTTTTATCAAGTATGAAGATTTAAGTTCAGGATTTGGATTTCTCTACCATATACACATAATTTTGTTTAATATCCTAACCCTAGAACTAGAAGAAATTTGGGGTACAGGGTCAAATACTATGATAGCAATGAAGAGATTGTTAGGTTTACCTGTGTGGTGGGCAGAGTAATGGCCCACAACATGTCCTCACCCTAATTCTTAGAAGCTGTGAATAGGAGTGTACTTTTCTTACATGACAAAAAAGATTTCACCGATGTGATTAAAGATCTTTTAGGAAGGAAATTCCACTAGATTTTTTGGGCCAAATATCATCATCTTACTCCTTAAAACATAAAACAGAATCATAGTTAGAGAGATCTGAAGTCACCGGGCTTTTAAAAATGGAGGAAGGAGCCATGAGCCAAGACATGCAGGCAACCCTCAGAAGCTCCACAAGATAAAGGGATCTCTCTCCCCTACAGCCTCCAGCAGGAATGCGGCCCTACTGACACCTTGATTTTAGCCTGGTGAAACTCATTTTAGACCTTTAGCTTCCAGAGGTATAGGGTAACACACTTGTGTTCTTTAAAGCCAGTATCTGTGTTAATTGCTATAGCAGCAATAGCTAACTAATACAATCCTGGACTATTTTACTGGGGGCATTCAGTTAAATGTGATAAGCTCTACAACAGGCACATAACTAATCCACATAATTCTATCTATGGTGATTTTATTCTTTTCATAACTGCTACAGGGATAGACTGATCCTGTAACAAAAACCTGAGGTTTGGTAAATAACTTACAATCACGATGTCAATGGAAGTTTTATTTAAATAAAATAACCACTGGATACTGATGAAGGCTGGGCTAAATTAATATAACTTGGTGTCCTATGTAAACATATTAGTATTGCATGCTTCAATTAAAAGGAATTTTAAAAATGGTCAGTATTCTAATGCTATATATATTGCTTCTTTTTTGATACTATGTTCTAAGAGAAGATACATGTTTCTTTCTACCAATGCTATTTAATGACACAAAAGAAAGAATTAATAACACATATATACATTTAGGCACAAGAGTTTCCTATGATGCACAATACTTTGTTATGCAATGATCCTCAACATAATGGATCTGACTTATTAACATAACATTCCAGATGCTTGCCAAAAGCCTTATATGGCAACTATGAAAAAACTCAAAATTGTTTAATTTACTACTTTCATTACAGGCGGTGTTTTTAATAACAATTTGCCAAGGAGGAGAACTTGCTTTATTAATCATAACTTGCTAAACAATCACTGACATAAAAAGTAATGCTAGAGCACAAAAGCAATATCCACCTAATTAAACAAAAAACAGGCTTTACTCTAAAGCCTGCAATTAGCACTGTTTATGGAGCTATAAAACAAGAGATAAAAGTGGTGGTATTTTTTGTCTTTAAAAAAAAAAAGAAACGAAGCTAGGTTTTAATGGTTTATTTGAGGAGTAGTGTACTTGGTTTTCAATGATGAAAAATCTCAAAGTCCTTAAACTTCATTCATTCAGTGCAGTAGTAGGTCAACACTGTTTCCATTTTATTGAACCTCTTACACAGGAGGGTTAACAATCTCTCTAAGCAAAGTTCTTAAATATAAGTTTAGTTTTCACTGAGGTATGTCTACCAAAATTCACATGTGCCCTTAGGTGTAAAACCTTTCAAGGAAAACAGTATTGCATGTTACCGTTCTGTGTGAGTTTTGTGGAACACAGAAAAGACGTTATCCAGAAAGACTCCTTTGTGGTCTTCATGGCTTGATTATTATTCCCAAGGAAAATGCCCTTGGAGAAGGGAAGTTTGAGGTAGCGGGTAGTATCCTGAAGATTTGTGTTTTCTTCACACTGTTCAAAAATATTCAAAAAACAAAAGAGAAGGAAAAGAGAACTTATAAGAATTAGTCAGCATAACTTCCATTTCTAGTGTTTATGAAGTGGGAGACATTCTAAAAAGCATTATAAATGGAATTTGGGTTTTAAGTAAAATGCAACAAAAACGTATACAAAGAATTAAGCTTGGATTTGGGACTTAGATTGATGTGAATTTAAATCTTAGCTCTGTCACTGACAATATGTGTGACCAACAGGTATCAAGTAATTTAATCACCCAGGGCTCTGGCTGTCCATCTCTAACATTCATTGTCTTGTCAGAAGAACTAGATTACACAAAGTCTTTAACATAGTCCTTGACACTGGAAATGCTGAAGAAATCACATTTGTAATGACCACAGGATTTTTTTAAATGCTTAGATATTTTCTAATAGCTCCTCTAATGCAGCTGTTAAACTTTTCTCACTTTGAAAACTGGCAATTAAAGAAACAGTATTTCAGGTAATCTAACACACTCACTGCGTGAGGGAAATCACTAATTCACAGAAAATGTTAGCTAATAAATGTAACAGGAAATATAGGTTAGAAAACAAAATGTCTAATCCCTACTATAATTATTTCTTTAGTCAAGTATTATCCTTTACTGCTCAAATCAGTGGGAGAATTGCTGATAAGAAGCTGTATGTTCATAGCATGCCAATGTGTCAATGCACAGATAACTTCCTACTGTCAAGAGGACAATGTAACTGCATCTGGGGAATCAGATTGTCATCACACCAATGCAAGCAAGGCAAAGACACACATCTGCATCTCAGGAAGCACAGGGATAGAAACACGCCATCCTATAGGAAAGTAATGAGACAAATCGGAACATGGCACATTCTACAGGATTAGTGGTCTCGTCCATTCAAGTCAGAGTTGTCAAAAAAGGGATTGTTCTTGACTAATCAACACTTAAGAGGCAGACAGCTTGATATAACACATAGTTTTGGCTTTGGACAAACCTGATGATCTGTCCAAATTTCTGTTTTTAATCTGTAAACTGACTCCGCTCTCGGTAAGAAGTTAGTAAACCTCAACCACTGTTAATTTCCTACAACTTTGTCTGTAACTCTGTTTTGTTTATATGGTTGTTATGCTATTTTGTAAATGAATGTCTGTGTGCTAATATGTTTTCTTTTATTTCTTAAAAGAAAAAAAAAAAGAAAAAAAAAGAAGTCAGTAAACTGGATAGTAGTGGAAACATTAGTTAAAGCCATCAGGCAAGAGAAAAAAATAAAAGAGGAATATAAAGAAAAGGAAGAAGTCAAATTACATTTTGTGTAGATGACATGATCCTCTGTATAGAAGATCCAGAAAATTCTTCCAAAGACTTATAGAATGAGTAACCAAATTAAGTGTGGCAGCAGACAGAAAACCAACATACAAAAGTCAACAGCCTTTCTCTACACCAATAATGAACTCATTGAGAAAGAAGTTAGGAAAACAATACTATTCAAAACAGCATCCAGAAAAATTAAGTAATTAAGAACTAACCTGACTAAGCAAGTGAAAGATCTACAATGAAACTCTGAAAGGAGATCAAAGAGGACATCAGAAAATGGAAAGATATCCCCTGTTCTTGGTTTGGCAAAATGAATAGTTTCCAAAACTGATGTACAGAGTTAATTGGCCATATTTCCGATAACTGATGTCTGTGAGGAACAAACTACCAATAGTGTTCCTCACAGAATTAGAAAAAACAGTTCTAAAATTCATGTGGAACCAGAAGAGACTTAGAATAGCAAAAGCAATCCTGGGTAATAAGAACAAAGCAGGAGGCATCTCAATCCCAGATTTGAAGTTATACTACAAAGCTACAGTGACAAAAACAGCATGATAGTCACATAAAACTAGATATATGTTGATCAGTGGAACACAACAGAGTCTGCAGAAACAACCCCAGGAACATACAGCTATTTGATCTTTGACAAATGGGTATAAAACATACACTGGAGGAAAGACAGCCTCTTTAATAAATGGTGCAGGGAAAACTGGATATCCATATGCCTAAGTCTAGACCCATACATCTTACCAGATACTGAACTAAAATAAAAATGGACCAAAGATCTAAATGTCAATACAGAAACATTTAATCTGCTGGAAGATAAACTAGGCACAATCCTTTAAGACACAGGCATAGGGAAGGACTTTCTCAATAGAAGCCCAATGACACAATAAATAGTATCAAAAATGAACAAGTGGGAACATATCAAGTTAAAAAGCTTCTGTACAGCAAAGAAAACAACCAACAGAGTCAAAAGAAAAGCTACAAAACAGGGAAAAAAATTTGCCAGCTAGTCTTCAGAGGACTAATACCCAGATTTTATATATAAATATATAAATATATTTATATAGTTAGACCTCTCCCAAATAAAAGACCCAATGAAAAAATAGGCAACTGAAATGAAGAGACACTCCTCGGAAGATGTACAAACAGCCAATAAACACATGAAAAAGGTTCAGTATTGCTGCCTTCTAGAGAAAGGTAAATTAAAACAATACTGAGATTCCATCTTACTCCAGAAAGAATGGCTACTGTCAAAAAACCAAACAACAAATGCTGCCAAGGCTGAGGAGAAAAAGGAACCATCCTACATTGTGGGTGGGAATGTAAACTACTACAACCACCAGGAAATCAGTATGGATGGAGTTTCCTCAGGAAACAAACTAAAAATTCCATTTGACACAGCTCTTCCCCTTTTAGGTACCTTTCTAAAAGAGTTAAAGAGGTCATATTACAGTGACACATGCAGACCCATGTTTTTAGCAGCACAATTCATAATAGCTAAATCTTGGAGTGGGCTATATTTCCAGTAATAGATGACTAGATACAGAAAACATGGTATTTATACACAGTGCAATACTACACTACTATAAAGAAGGATCAACTTGAGATGTCTGTAGGGAAATGGATATACCGTGAGACCATAATGTTAAGTGAAATAAGTCAGACACACAAGCTTTAATAATGCACAGTTTCTCTTATAGGAGAATCTCTAAATATAAATACAGAGTAATACAAAAGATATGGGATAGGAAGTAGGGAGCAGACCTTTTTCAAACGGGAAGTGGAGCAGGGATGGAAGGCGGTTGTGGGGGAAGGGGAAGGGGATAAAAAATATAATTGAGGTGTGTTATATCCATGCACTGGTGCCCCACAAAGGATGCAAACACTGTGTAGTACAAATAGATCCCAATACAAAATAAAAGCTCAAAACAAATAAAACCAACATAACTCACACAGAAAGAATTTAGTAACTGGCAAAACCACTGACTGCAAAAACAGCAGAGTAAAAGTAAATACATGTTCTATTTTAAAAAGAAGAACATCTAGAAGGATATACACTCGGAGACTACCCGTTAACATCCTCTGGATACTAAGGGCAGTGTTTTTATTTTACTTTGGTTTATCTGTATGCTGGTTTTGTATGCACAACAGTGATCTTAACATTTTGAGAAAAACAATATAACAGATACAGAACTAGCATTACTTAGCTTATTAGGAGTAATTTTAAAACTCATATGAACTATATTTCTTCACTTTGTTAAAATATCTTCAATGCTAGTGACCTGGTAAAAAGAGTTTAATCATCAAATTCTTTGGTACTGAATACTATTTTGTATGATCCACAAGGGTTATTTTCATTTTGATTACGTCTCTAAGAAAGACCCCTCTTGTGATCAGAGAAACAGAATCAGAACATTACAAGATGTTCTAGCTAGCAGAGCTGCTCCACAGCAGGAATACCAAGAGAAACAAACAGCGGCCATCATTTTCTTCCAGTGGTAGAACTCTAAATGCTTTCTTTTATTACTTTGAGATTTCATACAGATAGAAGATGGCGTAAAATGTACATGTATGGTTTCACTACAAGGCAAACACTTGAAATGCTTTCTGTAGAAAATACGCTTAGGCAAAGTAATGTTCTAGAATCCCAGACCACTGTTCCCTCCCCTTGGTCATACCCCTGGTATCAAGTCCTAAGTCAGAGCAAGTCACAGCACCCTAAATTCATCCTGCCTCCTCACTGGCGCTGGTCTGTGGGGTGAGGAACAGGCTCTGGTCTCCCATCCACAGCCTCACGTATTCTCCATACATCTAACTACCACTTCCTATCGTGACTGAAGTCTCATGCCAAACCCAGCCCAAATACTCTGCCCAGCTATTTCCAGGCCTCCTTCCCACAAGCTAGAGCCTGCCCTAGTCTGGTATGCTCCATCTGTTCACAGAAATCCTGGTCCTATAGATATATCTCTTTTGCTCCCCCTTCTCTCAACTAATTGGCTCTTGGGTTTGTCTGCAAGACTCTTGGAATTCCTGCTTCATACACTCATCTAGCTCAATCGGTTGTCACGGCACTGACCACCTGTGACCACAAATGTGATAGCTGGTGTCATGTCCTTAGGGGGCGCTGTGAACAGTACACCCAGCTGCCTTCTCCCGGGCCAGCCATTGTGGTCAGTTCTGTTCCACCAACCCTGGTTCCTTTCACTTCTCCTCCATGCCAGGAAAGCTAAGAATCAGCATCTGAGGCTGGGACATGAAAAGTTGATAGGTTCTTGCAGTTCAACTCTATCACCACCACTTAAGTACAACACAATAATTAACATGAACAGCACTGCATAAAAAAGTTACTTCAACACTTCCCACCAAGAACTCTGGCGTGTGTGTGTGTGGGTATGTGCGTGGTAAGGGTAAGGAGAAAGAATTTCTGCAGATTAATTCAGTAAATACAAGCATGTAACAACTCCTCTTTGGGGAAATTTTAATCCATTTTTGAAATATTTAAGCAACTGCACAGAAATACATCATCTTTTACTGTTCTTTGAGGTTTGGGGCACATAAAATAAACACTGGAAATTTTAAAGCAATCCTGCCAGGTTCCATTCATGAGAGCACTTTGTATGATACTGCTTTGATAGGTCAGAATTTGTGCAAGGCGCTGGTGAACACTTCGAGCGTATTCTCTCTT